AATCCGACCGGATTTCCAATGATGGAATAGCTCTAGTTGGACCCCGGCGTTTTTTACCTCTGCATTTTGTTTGAATTGATGAAGTCCGTCCCCTCTTCCTCTTCGGCATTTTTTTGCCTTACATGTGGAGTGCCACTGCAATTGATAATCTGAAGACAAACAAGTCTTTCTATTTCTGTAAAGGCACAGCCAATGAGTCACGGTCACGTCGGTAGAGTAATCAGCTGTCGACTGCTACCACGTTAACAAAATGTAAAAGCCTGTGGTAGTGTTTTCGGGACCTGATATGGATCCGACAATAAGTAATCAGTGCATTCAGAACATCAACGACGGCCATGAACTTATTATGTAAGATGGTGATGCTTGGACACTCCACAGATACTTCTACCTTCAGTTGTCTGTCCCATCTTTATACAAATTATTCGAGTCGTTGTCAACACTTTAATATATTTTGAAGTCGTTTTTTCTTTGTTACCTTTGTTTGTTGCGCTTGCGAAGAAAGGAATACCAAACTTCGGGACAGTGAGCAAAATCGCCTGCAATAGTTCGGTTTCAGCGAAGACGAGGACATGCAGAAGGGCAGAGAGAGATTTAAAGAAAAGACTAATTGTTGACAGTGTAGAAGCAAGAGCTGTCAAGTGGTTTGACAACAGAGTTTTTTGCCAGCACTTTTACCGGTGCTTAACCAGTCTGATATTACAAACTATAATTACAGATTCCATATAATTTACCACAAATTATGCAAAAGTCCTCCAAACTATGAACTGAAATGCACGTCAAACCCACGTTCTCACTCACTACTTCCAAGCGGTTGTTGTAAATCAAACGCAAAGTGCGGTGAACTGTTATACTGATAGAATCCAATGTGCGTGTAGTGTACAATGGTCCAGCAGCAAGGAAGCCGATCGATGAGCTACACACTTACGAGACGATGGGCTCCGGAGACTCAGCAGAGCAATACGACAGCCAAAATACCAGCAAGAGCTCAGAGAGAACGCAGCGCGAGACAGCAAACGTGTATTCAGACAACATCAACAGTTTACCAATTTATGTTACCGAGGCAACCAGGCGAAACGCAATGGGACATCAAAGAGGGTTCATTAGCGTTCCAGTTGGCTAACACAACATACTTACGGGAAGTAGTCCTTAAAATTTCAAGAAAACGCAAGATTTTCAGGTGAATACCACTACATCCGTCCCGAAAAGCTAACACCGGCACTGAGGGAAAATATGTGCACTGAAAGTTGCGTTTGCGAAAAAATTGGTTTTTTGACGTTTTCCTCACATATGGAGATAAGGGGTTAAGTGGTTAATTATAGTTAATTATAGTGCAGTCACTGGCGCTCTTGCTTTCGTTTCTGTATTTTTAATCTTTTCCTCCGAGTTTCGTAATTGGTTTGCAATTGTTTCATCACCAATCGTGGTGACTTCCTCATTGCGCTATTGCAGTCCGCTGATTTGATTGTCGATTTGTGATTGACCAGCAGGTGACTTCTGAATTAACCTCCTCGTTTGGCCAGTTTCTCTGATGGACATGGGCGATCTGTGAGATGGTTTCACACTGGTTCTTGCGGTTGTGATGTTGATGGATCGTTTGCATGCCCATGACCATTTCCAAGCTGTCTTACTTCTCTCCATCTTTGTTTTCGATGCAGTGGTAGGTTGTTGTATCGTTCAGACGCCGTTTTTCCTTTTCAGGCTAGCCAGCCTTATCCAGTATAACATGTGCGCTTAGGGCGAAACCATCTCACGGATCGCCCATGTCCATCAGACATTGGCCAAACAAGTGACGGTCACTGGGCGCTAATTCAAAAGTCATCTCTTGGTCAATCTCTACTCGATCATCAAATCAGCGGTTTACAATATCGCACTGAGGAATTCACCTCGTTTGGTGATGAAACGTTTGCAAGCTAAGCTCGGAGAACAGATGAAATCTAGAACGATCAGTCCGAGCTACCAGTATTTCAACCCCTTTCAAATTATTGAACACCTCAACTTGCTCTTATTTTTTTAGGTACTTGTGGTTACATTTTGGTTGATAGCGATTTTTCCTGACTGTCATCTTGCGTCAAGCCATCTCAATCCACAGTTGATTTGTTAATTCTTGGGGCGCTTGATTCTACGGATTCTATCCACCTAAGTCTGTCTTCGATGTTTCTTATTTGCTAACGTGTTTCGTTATGGACATTTCTTCTGGTGTCTACCCACCCTTCATCATTGCTAAAGCGATCTATCAGGTCTTCCGAAGGTGTCATTTATCACACTTTAACCGACTTCGCGCTCATGATCTTTCTGTTTTACACCCGATCGCGAAGCAAACCCATGAGGAGCCTAGAATCTTTCCAGCGAACGGAATATATCATCTAGTCGCATTGGCCCCTGTACGCATGTACGTTCCACAATTTTTCCAATGCTAGGATGAGTTTACATTTGTCCCGTCGACAAGCCGTTCCTTGGTTCCACATGATCTCTACAATTTATGAACAATGATATTTGCGGTTTTTTAACTTGCATTGTAAAATAATGCACTTTCTCACATATACGTTATTACTCGCATCGCTATTAAGAACAAACGAAATGTCAACGTTCTAGGAGACGTGTCTACCAGTGGAAGTTACAAACAGACCTAATAATGTTAGTGGTCTGGATGGAGTCCGCAGGATCGGTTGACGGGTTTCTAGCTGAATCACTCGTGCTTGTATTTGACGTGTCTTTCATCATAGGTTGAGTGGGTTTTCCGGAGAGCAGAGGATAGGAGTCGCTCAAGTGTCAAATCTGGGCGACATTGAGGTGATTGGTTATGACGGTTTCTCGCTCGTTTTTGTGTCCGACAATGAATTAGTGATCCTTACGTTGCAGGATGTTGAATGGGCCTACGTAACTTCGTTCGAGTGGTCCACATGGACTATCGACGTATATAAATACGAATGAGCTATGGTGGAGCTTTTGGGAAATAAAAGCCTTTCTACGCTGTTCCCAGCCATCGAGTTGTCGCGGAGCATGCTCATAGCTAGTTTTCGAGCGTAGTGCGCATCGTAGCGAGGAACATTTGGATTCTCGGACTATTCATAAATCAGTTCGGCACTGTACGTCTGCAAGTCAGGTTTCTGGGCTGATCTCGTGCCAAGGAGTGCAAATAACAAGGCTTCTGTCTGATCTTGTGCACTGGCAGCACTCATCGAAGATTTTACCTACCGAGGAAGCGTTCCACAACGGCATTTGCTTGAGGTTGCTAGGATGTGGTCATTGGTCATGCTAAGTCCATCCATTGCTATTCAGCTGGAAAGGCTGCTGCCTTGGAGCGCGTGTACTTGTGTGGGTGCCAACCAATCAATGTTCGCCATTGATTCGCTTCGAACTGGAAATTGTTCTCATGTTCATGTGACTCACGTGGCAGACCATTTTTTTCGCGCTCACATGTGCTGAGTAGCGTGTACCGCCTTATGCTTGCTACTAAAGTTTTCCTACTACCATACCGCTGTTCTGATTTCGCTTGGGCAGGAAATGGTGCGGTTGCGTTGACAACCGAGAACCTTAAGCAGACCATTGCAAGTTGATGATTCGAATTGCGAAACACGGTCGGTAGTCACGGTGGCTGGACAATCATGTGAAGCCACCCAACGCTCGAGGTATGTGCGCGTTATGATCTTCGCAGATGCATCTGGAGTCGGGGATTTAGCATTAATTTGATATTCCCGCACTGAACTAATCGTTTACTGTCGGAGACATGGAACTTAGACTTCTTCGTAGCTTTAACGCCTTTCCAATTTTTGTTCGTCAATTTACTTGGAAACCCTACCTGTGCTACTTTCTGCTGCCTTGTGCCATGTGGTTTGTCCACGTTTAATACGGCGGATTTCTTCGATTATGGTCCACCTTACACAGGCTGCTGCTGCTTTGCGCGTTAGATCTTTTCTTTTCCTTATAAAGACTTCTTAGATGATATCACTCTACTGTGACAGACTATCCGTTTTACTTATCGCATTAGTGGCATACATTGCCTTTGTCCCTCGCGTGTTCTGGTTGGACGCCTTGTTGAACTGGTTCGTTTGTTGCATTCTTGTATCTAAAGTGAATCGACATTTTTACATCCGAACGAGCACTTTATGCCTACTTCAATCATTGTATTAAATACTTATTAACTTGGCATTTGTGAGGCGCATCTCTTTCATCATGACGAAGAGTTACAAGAATTTTCCCGCGTCAGTTGCACATCGATCGGAAATCTATACGCATGTTTCCAGGAGAACGATTTGAAACATCTGTTTTCTCCGTTATCCTCTAAACTACCTGATCTGTTCCGGGGTCAGATTTTCCCTTTGCTACTCTTCGGACATTGGTAGTAAGCAGGTATCCGGTCAGAATGTCGAAATCTTTGGTGATCTCATAGAGGATCGTTATTTATTTACTTCTAGAAAACACCGATGTACATGGCGAGGAATGATTGAATTTGTAGCGCTTCAGATGTTTCTCATGATTCACTGTGGTCGAATATTTCTCTTGAAAAATTGTAAGTCGTCCACTTCGTTGACCGCAACTCCGTTTTACTGCAAAGCGTCGGTTTTGTTTAATACGTTACTTAAGATCTGTGTATCGTTGTCCTCTTTTCGTTGGATGTTGATCCATTTATGTCCCGTGGAAACGTCGAATTCATTGACTCAATGTTCCCATCGTGACAAATTCTCATCATTGCATCAACAGTTAAATGCGTTTTGGGTTTCGAATGGGTTTTGACAACCGACGGCCTTCTCTCTCCGATGTGCTTGGCATGGGTTGAGCGTACACTAATGTCAGTTGCTTCGTGCTCTGGAGTTCATTTTTGTACCTCTGGTTTTCACCTCGGCTTTGCTTTTTCCCTGTACCTCCGCTGTTGCTCACTTGTTTGCTGTAGTCTGTCAAATTCTCGGTCTATATATCCTATATAATGTAATCCCAGTTATTCCGTTTCTTAGCCCGTTGATTTCGTCATACCCGTTCATCTATCACTTTTCTTTAAACAGAAAAACCGCTTGGGCTGATCGGGTGTCGATGGCACCGATTTACATGCCCTATGTCTACCATATTGCTCTCCGTGGTCTATCCGCTGTGGTAGATGGTTTCCTCGGCATGCAACCAAGCTTTGCGATTGGAATTGATGCGCCTTTTGGTGTCCCACTAGACTTATACCGATCTGCAAATTCGGCGTCACCGCTAGTTGGTGGCACCCAGGGACTTCCGGCCGAAGTAGATAGTAAGCTACTGGTTGACGTTTTGACAATGCTTAAAGCGTTCCGCTTAACAACCTTGCGTAACTAACCCCATCGTCTTGGTTCCGCTTGCAGCCGATGTCAAGAAATCTGTCTACACTGGAATTCCCTCCTCCCTTATGCACAGCTATCGTGTTGGAAGTACATCCGGATTACCGATTGACAAGGGCTCCCGTGAGTCATAACGTTGACTCTGGCAATAGTGCACCTATGCTGATGTCTTTTTACTTTCCTGGTGACATCATTTCAGTCGTTTGTGTTCATCTTGTACCTTAACCTTGTGACACTGGTGTTCTCACCTCTCATCCATATCATTCCTCACTATGTTTCTTGGTCCTTTGCCTTCGCGTCTTCTGCGTTCGCCCTTTTCGAGGTTCATTTTACACAATTTTAATCGTGATACAGTTGATCCCCAACTCGATGCTACAGTTTATGTGCCTCCATCCCCCGTTATACCACTACAGTTAACGTTTCCAAAGAACCTCAAGAGTAACTATTATCAGTGACGCTGATCGGTAGGTATGTTTGGTCTAAACCTCCTCACATATGGGTGGAGAAATATCTGTGTTCCTATCCCCTTAGTTGACAGCGGTTTACGGAATACATGTCTCGCTCGATCAATGCAGCATACGAACCTCACGTTGTTTCTAACCGTTAGAGGACAAAACGGTTGGTCACTCATTGGCTATCACTAGTCCAGCAACTGGTCACCATCTCGCACACTCTATCATGTGATCACTGACGCTCGTGCGTTTGGTGCACCAGTTCTGCGTGTTAGCCTTTCTGCCCGGCGATATGCTCCTTTTTTGCTTCCTTCCATAGAATTCCTTTTGTTTCACACACTCTACCTTTTTTCTTCTTACTCTACTCCTTCTTAATCACTGTTACGATTGCCTACCCATTGCGATGCCAGATACACCGCACTTTCTTGTTTCTTCACTTAAAATGAATTCAGCTCTAATTTCTCTTCCTATTGATGTCGGTTCGTCTCCACGCAGACTGTTTTACTTTTTCCGATCAATACCGCTTCCGACAAGGTAAACTCTTGCTACGCAAAGAATTATATTTGGACTGTTACTAAGGCTCCTATCCCCCACGTACTTTTGTGATACTTTTCGTACTGAACTACACCGTCATCTGCGTGATCTCTTACACCTTTTTCTGTAGATTGCTAAGTTGAAACCCCTTCTTTTCTTAGGTAAAGGCAAACCGTATAGCACGGTGACAAATGCTGCGTTATCGCTTTCCTCCAGCGGGTCAACTAATCGGCACTCCAATCCCACCGGGGTACAGACAGATATCCTCACTCCTTCCTTAATCGTTGGCCCACCTACGCTGCTCACTATCGTGACAGGCGGGAACCAACTTTTGAGCTCCGGTCTTGTTGCATCCTCTCCCACTTTTCCATCGAAGCATCAGCAATCCTTTGGTGCCCCTCAGAAAACGGTTGTCCCTCCCACTCATCAAAGCTCTAGCACGCCAGAGGTCGGCACTCAATACCAATCTTTCGGCCTCCCGCATCTTCGCAATTTAGCGACCAGATGGTTGGGCCCTGAATCTAGCCGATGCGTCTCTTATTCGCGTCCAGACGCGAATTCATTGCTCCGGCTTCTTGGTCCATGGCTATTTGAAGCTGCAATATTCGGCTCCGAAAAAGATTTTCATCGTAAGTTTTCTTTTTTCATATCCTAAAAGAAGTTACTGTGACTGGTCTATTCTTTGAATGGCTGTACTACGGGAATATAACACATCGATTACTGAATGTCAAAAGCAGCGCTTGATTTCCCCCCTTCTACATCAGACTATGCGATTGCCTTAGCAGCGAAACATCATCAGTTGTGTGACATGCGACCTTTTTTCTCGCTTCACTTTCGAGTTCACGTTGGCTTCAACGAACTGTTCTTATCAGCCGACAATGAAACCCTAATTTCTCTCTCCCCATGTTCCCTCATTCTTCTTGCTCTACTGAAAAACGCACCCTTTAGCGCGCCTAGGCCTCGCCCAAACTTGCAACCCCTGGCCCAATAATGCAAACGCCCAACATATGACTTTTCGCCAATGGTCGATGTTTATGAGCCAAATGTTTACTTGAATGTCTTCCTATACGACACGGTGCCATTAAATCGGTCGTTGCCATTTTTTCAATGATTATCGTTTTTGCCTTATATATGGTTGGCAGTATCCGGTTTCGCATTTGCCTGTCACTGTGGCCAGCCACAGGACGCCTGCGTCTACAGAGGGACCATGGGTGGCTTCCGCTGCACCACCCACAGCTCCAACCACACACCCCATATCTAGTGTAAACCCGAAGGAATAAGACCGGGACGCATGTGGATGGGAGCCAGGTTTCATCAACGGAGCCGGCCCACACCCTTTCACAGGCAAACACAAACACGCTGTATTTGGGGAATCAAGTGCACACAAGGCGGTGGCTGGACCGTAGTGCATAGAACCACTGACCCTAACACGGCCACAAGAACCGTGCACCCCGTCTCCTTCAGCAACGAACAACTGTCTTCTAGAGCCAGTATGGACGAAGTAGTGGGTAATAGACAGGTAGGCACCTTGTCAACATGCACATCAAGCGCAGCCACACTGGGGATATCAAGCAACAGCCAACCACCTGAAATGACAAGATGAAATAAAACAAATCCAATAATGCGTAGAGATACGGTGGCATAACTCTTCGCTAAATTAGCATATGAGGTAAGTTGGTTAGTAACGAATCCGCGATAAGTAAAAAATGTCCACAAGTTAGTTGAAAATGCTGCAAAGGTAACAAAGTTACCGAAGATAAGCGCAATTAGTGTAAGCAACGTGGCCAGTTAATAGAAGATTATTCAGATAGGCAGAACAAACCAAATAAAGTGGAATGAAATTTATCCAGCTTAAAAGGATCTAGTTTAAGTGTGCGTTGATTTAGCCCATCTGCGGTGAAGACGCATCAAGAATGTGACATCAGCTTCAGCATGGGTCATTATATATATATATATATATATATATATATATATATATATATATATATATATCAATATTGTAGGAACATGCTAGCAGGATATTCTCCCAAACAATCTCTAAGGTAATTGAAACTAATCTACTCTGTCCGCCTTTTGAATAAAATGCTGAGATATCGCAGATCATTCCCGACCTGTTATCTTTGGACGCGATATTCTACCTCAACCAAAATGTTATGAAGAAGTGTTTTGATAAAACCTTGCCCTTTTGATTAGATGCAATTCCCTAAAATTCAGTTTAGCATCGTGTGATCGTTGCTCGATGGGGTGATGACAGCGCGCCCTTTTTATTTTTGTCTATTTCTTCGTAACATCACGCATTTTTGTTGGTGCTAATTTGGACCATCGTCAGTTGATATTGTAAAATACCAAAAATGCACCCATTTTGGTATATAAAGCTTATATTGACTTCACTTGATAGGGTTTTTTTGTGTGGCTTGTTCTGTGTGTGAGAATTTCACACTAGCGAATTCATTTCTACAGATTCCATTAGTTTGATTGAGATGCGGAGCTTAGTGCCATTGCTATTCGGATTATCATCAATCCTTAATGGGAGTCCCAGAGTTCACTACAAAACAATTGCGAGTCTGCATTGTAATCCGGAGACCTTTGATACAAATCCGCATGGGTATGGGTGCTTTCGCGGTACCCCCGACCACCGCGCGATCTTTGGGAATCGCGCGGTGGCGAAGAGTCCGTACGGTAGGCCTGCGTACATCTTTGATACCTTTAGTAAACACTCGAGTGTTACTGCAGCCCATCCGACATGGTGGTCTGCAAAGGTTCCTCGTCATGCTGACCGTAACTGTGGGGACTGGACATTTTATTCACATTCAGCCATATTCAGAGAGATATGAGTCTTTACAAAATCATTTTACTAGGTCCAATACACTACCCACCAAGTGCCCTCCCTGGTTACTGAGAGTTTGGTGGCTTTCTGTTGACTGCTGAGACCACTCCACTACATGCTGCTTAGCACTAAGTGATGTATCCTCTAATTGATGAGTCTTGTTTGATATTTTCATGTTTAAAGTAGGCCGGAGGGTATCTTCTGATGATCATCGAAGTGCTTGTCCCATCCCCATATTTGTCATGTGTATCTTACTGCGGCGACTTACTGGTTATTCTGCGAGTCGAATAAGTCCCGGGCAGCAGAGACTACCATTTTGTATTTCGTTAAGAGCTTATGCAATGCTATGAGTACAACCTATATCACTGTAGCCTTTCTTGACTTGGAAACCGCTTTTGAATAATTAACTTACACCTGTCTGCATAAATCTTTGATGTATATGCATTAGCGATGATATCACTGTTAGGAAATTGTTCTTCAACTATTGGAACATTGTTTCCTTACAGATGAAGTCGTCAGTCTGACACTGTTTATTATTATTATTAAAATTTTTCTTATGATTACTATTACTATTATAATCATTACTCTCATCTCGTTATCTTGCCGATTGGTTGATGATGCAGGTCTGCATCATCAATCACGCATACCTTCAGTGTGGTCTACGCATCTAACAACACTCGTGCTGCGATACGCTGAGGAGGTCACGATCAAACAGCTTGACCCCAGTCACACTGGCTCTACCCTGGTAGTAAGCCAGTAGACAGATAACGAATTGACAAGACGTGTGTATGTATGTGTACGTATATTGGTAAATTTGCTATTCCAACTGTATTAACTCTTCATGATGCTATAGATGTTCGCTTCTTCTGTACTAGGCGTTTTACGATATACAAACAAATTTGTCCGGAATTGCATCGTGCGGTACTTTGGTGTTAATGTTTTTACTGTATTCGAAAGGATTTTTTATACGTGATTCATAATACTCCAGTGCTGCACGTTTCCCGCATAAAGCTCTCACCAGTTTGTACCTCATCAATTGGCTACAGACACAACAGTCTACCTATGCGAGGCACATTTTATTGGTATGATTTTTGGCCGCATTAAGCTGACTCTCGTTATTTGTTGTAATCAATTAGTTTGACGAAGCATTCTCACTGAATAACCATTGAATATACCGATAAAAGCATCATTAGCACAGTGTTGTTTGACGAAACCGATGAGTGACACGGCTGGTCTTCTTTTGCGCGACGGCGTTTACTTCAACTAAAACAAAACAGCGGTGAGGTTGCGGTGATTTGTTCCATCAAGTGTGCGACAACGAACTGCGTTACACATTGCTCTTATCTTACTGTCATCCACCTGGTGGTCGAAAACGCAACAAGACGATTGAAGGACCAAAACACAAGGATCCGTTTTTCTTAATTCGGAAATTTGTATTATGAGTGTTTATATGGCTCTGATATTTCGAGCACGTCATTGTTATCGTGGCTATCTATAGGCAAGAGGATTAAACAGTAGAGACGGGAATGGACCGATTCACATCCCATGATCTGTCGATCTATTACTTGTGTAATTGGTTGCGCACGTGTCTTGGCCTACTTCCCGTTCTTCTTTTTGCATCGTTAACTGCTTTCTACAAAACCTTTTTCTGTTGTTCAGAACCATAATAATGCTAGGATAGTCTACCTGCATTTTGTTTGTCACACGTCTTGTGTTGACGCTATTTTCAAAGAAGTACCGATACGCCTGTGTTTGAAAGTCGTTTGTTTTTCACTTTCATCCTATGGCTTTTCTGGCTACTTTCATTTAGAAGGCGGTGCTCACTTCGTCATGGGTTCCTTTGTCCCAAAAGCTTCGCCATACCTGTCAGCAGCCTTCACCTTTCTTCGGTCCATGATACTTCCGCACCACCATTACCCATTGGTTATTCATGCTTCCAATTGTTGCCTACTAAGGATAGGGTCGCTCTTCGCGAACCGTATACTTCCCTCACGATGGATCATTCTGTTTTGGGTGACCCAGTGATAGTATGCGCCTTTTTCAAAGCGCTGCTATGTCCATTGCTCCTATTGCCTGTTTTAAAATATGTTACTGAGTTTTATCTTTCTCATTGTTGCGCACTGTACATGGCGTTTTTCATTTTGATTTCATTTTAGATACAATACAAACTTGTTGATATTTTTACGAATTTTATGTAACCTTTTCATCTTCGTTGTCATCTTATCACCTCCTACCACTTCTTATTTCTTTCAACCTCCCTCGTTCTAGTCCCTTCGTGTAAGTTCTTTTTCCTAGTGTCCATAGATTGCTACTTTAAAACCTAGTCTTTTACTATGTGTATGTAACATGCTCTTTTTCTGCTTGTTTATTTTTTTGCTGTAATTTTATCCATCCATATCACCTTTCGTGGGTAGGTATATCTAGATGCTCTTGTTACTTTCCCCGTACCCCTGTTCTAAAATCATGTCGGATCGTATGTTTGAGTGGACTTCATCACCGCTTGACACACTCAAATAGCTAAGAATCCGTGGTAACCCGAGGCAACACTGTCGTCTTTTTTATACTATTTATCATTGCCTACTCCATTAATTTTGTGGTAAGCTTGTGCCTCATAACAAGGACCTATGCTTCCGATTCACAATGGATGCCAATTTTCTGTGAAATAAAGGAACTGCTTGTGGTATGCTGCTGTCTACGAGCCTGGACCTCGGCGCGGTTTGCGCGCCCTCGGTTCCATTGAGCCGTACTATGTGAAGTACGTTTGGGACACTACTAGTGGCTGGAGGCCGGCTGAAGCACGCC